CGCGCCTCGCGCCTGCCGCCGGGTAACGGTCGTGGGCTGAGGGCGGTGAGGGGCGGCCCTGAGGCGGGGGGGGGGGGGGTTAAAAGGGACCCCCGGGGAGCACGAGTGTGTGGTTTTATTTGCGGCTTTGGGTTACCGCTGTGAGGACGAAGGTCAGGGGAATTGGCGCCTCGAAGTATTTCTGTGAGAAATGGGCTTTTGACAGGCCGCGGTTACTTGGTGCTGCGTGTAGTATGGGCGTCAAGTACTGCCACTGCTTCGGTAGGGTGATCGGGGTGGGGACGTAGTTTGGTTGAAAGATACACCGAAAAAGGAGATTCATCCGGTGTCTGGGGTTTACGCATCAATATTTGTCTCACAGCATGGCGGTGTAGGTTTGTTTGGGGCAGCGAGTGGGTGTGATGCAGAAAGGAAGATGGGGGTAAAACTGGAACAAGATATGCTTGTATATACGGGAAATTAACATATTTAATTTGATGTCTGATCAGCTTATCTGCTTGAACAGTAAAATCTCACTGTACATATGTTAGTAATCTCTGCTGGCCATCAGCCTGATAAGATTTTGAATTTCAACATTTCTCTTGTTACTGTCTTTTGTAGGCTGAGTGCTTGGTGTTAGGGAGACTGTACGGACATAAGACCCTGCCCCAAGATCTGAACAGCTTGAATCTTTTGTACCAAACAGCTAAAAACCCCGCCAAATGTGTGCTGTTTTCAGAGTTGGGTACAACATCAACGCTTTAAAAATCGAGTAAAATCCCTGATCCAGTGATGAGAGCCAGCTTAGAGGTTCAACAGAGACTAAAGGCCAAATTCACAACCCTCCCCGTGGGAAATTGAACTGACTTCTCTTTCATAGAAACCTCTTAAAGTTGAGGTTGCTACTCATAGGACTTCTATGATCAGAGAAACAGGTTTCAGTGTAAGTAACAAGTTATGTAGAATACATGTACGTTCATAAACAGTGGCTTTGCCGGCTGGAAAATGTGATGGTTCTCAGATTTTGCCTGGCTAACTGCTTGGGTCAAAAAAACAGGTTTGGAGCAGACAACCATGTGATTGAAATGCGATGATAGAAATCTGTGTGAAACTGGTATGCCTGGTTTAACAATGCTTGTAACCTCCCACTTTCGCAAATACTACTATTTCCATTCTTTCCTGATAACAAGAGTTAGGAGTGCGTTCTGCTGGAGATACCTAGAGGAAATACATTGCCAGCATTCTTGTTTTGAAGAAATGAATATGAACATGTGGTGAGAAACCTTACAGTATGTATAATGGTATTACCAATGACAAAATGTGTTTTGTCTTGCAACCCAATAATTTTGCACATTGGGCCAGAAGATAAATTTTCATCCCTAATCTTTCATCAGGCAACATGATGTTTTCAGTTTTGTATAAAATATCTCACTTCTGGGAAAAAACAATAGATGCATATGACCAAGATACACAAAGTATAGTGGGAACATGATGCAATACTTGCTTGTAGTTGCCTCGACGTCCAGGCATGTATAATCACTCTTTTATGAAAATGAACTGAAAATACTAGACTCTGTAGTTACTTAGCTGTTTAAATTATGCAATAATGCAGTGCAGTGTAAAATTACGGAAACAGTTTTTGTCACATTTGCAGCAGCCTTTAGAAAGGATTTAATCCTTGCCAAGAACCCTGTCAGGAATCTTAAAAAAAAATACACAAACTGTTGCTCCTGTTTTAACAATGAGATTATATATTTTACATATTATGAGATACTCTTGTTACTTTGATTCACTGTATTTGGAAATATTTGTAGTATGAAGAAAAACCAGAGAAGTCTAACGACTGCAAATGTCTAAGTAGGTAAAAACATTTCTAGGAGTTGCCAAGTATATTATACATATAAGTTAAATAAAGTTTAAAATTGTTCAAATTAAATGGTAAATAGTGTATCAATATAACTCAAAAATGTATGTCCAGAATTTTATTCATTGCAATAGTCTCATTTGAGCCAGTGGGAGCTAGTTAGTAACCAACTTTGTACAGATGCCTAAATTAGAGGGGTCAGTGCAAATCTCTATGTAAATTAATATTAACTGTGGTAATGTTGATACTGCTGGTCATTATGGAGGGCCCAGATTTAACAGTCTCACCTTTTTGTTTAGGAGATTAGAATTGAGGCATTATTAACATATTTTGATTTTTCGGTGGGGGCAAATTGTCCAATGTGAATGAAAAGGGAATGGCGGGGGGGGTGTTTTGCTTTTAAATCTTGAGAATAAGTGTGTCAAAGCTGTTGGGCTTTTTTTTTTTTTTTTTTTGGCTAGGATTGAGGTCCCCTTCTGTGGCAGTGTGTAGGAGAGACCTGAAGATCATCTTATGCCTCAGCTTGCCACAAACTGCAAACAGCAAAATGACAGTCAGGTAAACAAAAACAGCCCTGTTTAGCTTTTTCCACCCTCGCTGACCTAGGAAGGTCGGAAGTCTGAAGAGGGCAGAAGGATGCATGAAGTTTTGGTTGTATCATTTCTGTGTGTGAGAAACTTACTTTCTACTCCAGTTTTTCTTTGCTGAAGCGTGAGATGTGAGCGGGTATGTGCTTGGTGCAGGGGAAGACATGCCCTATGAATAAGGGAGAGAATGTCTTTCCTTTGAGACTTAGGTGGCAGGAACGGTAGCTGTCTTGGCAGAGTCAGTACGTAAAGTCGGTTGTTTTGCCGTAAGTGCACAAGTAACGGGTTTTAAAACAGTGACTGGGGAGATGGGGCAAACTTACCGCACGAGTAAGCGGATGAGGTGGAATAGTATGAAGTTTGATGAGTGGAGAGAGGTCAGGCCGTTGGGATGGAGGAGTGAATGGGAGCAGGTTGATTGTAGTGTGGAATAAGTAGGCCATGAGGGAGCAGTAGGAGGGCAGTTGAACAGAGTGGGAATAGCGGTGGGAAGTCTTTTGTGAAGCAGCGCATGGAATAGCAGGTTCATTGTGTGAAGCTGTGAAAGGTGGGAAAGACATTCAGCTCAGGGGTGGCAGCTATAGAGGAGGTACGCTCTTGTTTTATAAATCAAGAATGGGGTGGGGGTGGTAACGAGAGACTGAAAATAGGCAATGAAGGGGCTCGGAACAGCCATAAACAGGGAGAGGATGGCAGCCTGTGGCCTGCTATTTAAAGCGGGGAGTGCGATAGAAGGTGACAGGGAGGTACTTAGCAGGTAGCGAATGGTTTGGGGGTGGCAGTGGCAAACCAAAGGTCCACCTCTTACAATAAAGTCGGAGTTTGCCAGGCAAAGGCAAGAGGGAGAAAGCAAGGAGGTGATGTTTGTGCTAAGGCAAAGCCCTGTTCATCCCACGCTGGGCTGCAGTTCCCCGCGAGCTGCTTGCAGTTTGTTGCTTGAGGGTGGCTACGCTGAGCGCCTGTGGCCCGGCGGCCCTGACCCGTCATTGGGCTCCGGTGACCCGGTTCTCACGCCGGCTGGCAAGGCTGTCTGTGGCGAGAAGGGAGCCGGGATCAGCCCGTGGCACCTGCGGCCAGCCAGCTGTCAGGGGTGCAGGAGTTCAGCGAGCTCCGAACGGGGATTGCTCTTTGCCCTGGGGTGGGTTGCAGCAGTCCACTCCCGTGGGGCTGCTCCCCGAGAAAAACCCAGAAAAAAGACCAAAGCCTTGAGGAAAAAAGGGGCCGCGGATTTGCGGCGGGACCCGGCCTGGAGGCAGAGGGGTGGAAGAGAACAACGCGAGCTTGAGCCACCAAAAGCAGACGCCTGCGGACGAGTGTCCTTAAGAGCCGGACGCAGACGATGCTTGTCGGTGCTGCTTTCCCGAGACCCCAGCCCTGCGCGGCCCGCGCTAGCCCCCGGTAAGGGACTCCTCTCCCAGGGGGACGTGCCCGGTCTCTCCCCACGGCTGCCGGTGCGAGCCGGCGGTGGCAGGGCCGGGAAAACGCCGGTGGGACGGGGCA